CCCCTGTAACGCATCGTAAAGTTTTGCAAGAGTGAGTGCACAAACAAATGTATATAACAAAACTTAAAAAAAAAGTCAAACTAAATAATGGCATGGGCATACACGCCTATGGAGTAATTGTATTCAAAAAAAAAAGTTTTGCAAAACCCCCCTTCCCTAAATTACTTACGTAATACTTGAATGCCCCCTTAAATCCCGGAAAATATTAGGATCCTGTAGGATTCTCAAATAACCAAAGATAATGCGGACATGCTAGCATATAAAAAAATAGGGGTGATGACGGGGTACAGTGAACGAAATTCTATTTAGTCCGTCAGTAAGATGATCAAAAAATAATGGACACGTATTTTTTCTTTGGGCAATCAACCCAAAAATGACAAAGTTATAGCGCGTCAAAGTTTAGGAGTAGGGGCTCGTGACGTCACTTTTGAGTGAATTTTCCCTTATACTCAAACGTGACGTCATGCGACTTTTCAAATCAATATATCTCTGCAATGTTTATATTATGTGAAAAAAGAAAAAATACGTGTCTAATACTTTTTGATAATCTACCTGATAAACGAAGAAAAAAAAATTAGTCATCATCCCTACTGCGTACCTGCTAATTTTTTTTTTGAAATCACTGAATAATTATATTTTATTGATACTCAATAGCGGACGTTGCAAAGTAATTAAATAGCTTCTAGGCACTTTCTAGAGATAATTATTTTGGATTTACTTATAAATTCTATTATAGCGCTGGCAACACTTTAATTATGCTAAGTGAATTGGCAGATAAATTTTAATAGCACTGGATCTCTTTACAGCTTCATGCCTAATTAATTACTCAATATTAATCATATTTACATAAATACTAAGAAGTAAATAATAGGGATAATGACTATTTTTTTTTTCTTCGTTTATCAGGTAGATTATCAAAAAGTATTGGACAAGTATTTTTTCTTTTTTCACATAATATAAACATTGCAGAGATATATTGATTTGAAAAGTCGCATGACGTCACGTTTGAGTACACTTATAAGGGAAAATTCACTCAAAAGTGACGTCACGAGCCCCTACTCCCAAACTTTGACGCGCTATAACTTTGTCATTTTTTGGTTGATTGCCCAAAGAAAAAATACGTGTCCATTATTTTTTGATCATCTAACTGACGGACTAAATAGAATTTCGTTTAATGTACCCCGTCATCACCCCTATTATAGTAATACCAATACTAAGATAATCATCATCATCATCAGCCTATTAATGTCCCCACTGTTGGGGTACAGGCCTTGCTATGGATGGAATAGGGGGATTGGGCCATGACCCACCACGCGGGCCCAGTGCGGATTGGTGGGTGTTGATGACTGCAGAAGCAGCCGGGACCAACGGCTTAACGTGCCTTCCAAAGCACGAAGAAGCTCGAGATAGTAAATTTTTGGTCACCCATCCAATGACCGACCACTGCGAAAGTTGCTTAACTTCAACGATCGCAGTCGAACGCGCTAACCACCCGTGCCATCGAGCTCCTCATATAAGATAATAGTAATCTTTATTCCTGAAACCAAAAACGTTGAGTAACAACTGTACCCCTAGCATGAACCATTTTCGAATTCGAATAGTTTGCGAGTGCTAAATGTCAATGTCAAATTTTGTATGGAAACTTGAACAGCAGCGGCACATAGTACGTCACATAGTACGAGAACTAAAAATCACAATGACATTTCGGATTCGCAAACGTTACGAATTCGATATTAGTTCGTGCTAGGGGTACTGAAGTAGTCTTGCCGCAATTTCAATTGGTCATCATCATCATCATCATCAGCCTCTCAATGTCCCCACTGCTGGGGCACAGGCCTTCCCTATGGATGGAATAGGGAGATTGGGTCATGACCCAATTTTTTAAATTGGTCGTTAGCCCATATTCAAGTGCGAATGAAATTCGAGTAAACGACTAAGTGCAAATGAACGGAGTTGAGTGCGCCCGAATTCCAGTGTAAATATTGCTTCGGGTGACAGATTGAGCCATGACCCACTACACTTGCCCAGTGCGGATTGGTAGGTGCTAACGACTGCAGAACCAGCAGGAACGCACGGCTTAACGTGCCTTCCGAAGCACGAAGGAGCTCGAGATAGTAAATTTTTGGTCACCCATCCAATGACCGACCACTGCGAAAGTTGCTTAACTTCAACGATCGCAGCCGAACTCGCTTAGCGACTCCGGTATCGTATAATATTGAACAAATAAACTGATTTCACTAGGGACTGCTCTATTCCAGAATACTAAAATAGATTTTCTGATGGTATGGTATGTTTATCTTATATTGAAAAACTTTGCAGATATAACCAAATATCTGTCTGTCTGTGGTGCTGTTTCAGCGGCCAAACCGTAAGAGATAGATAAAGAGAATATTTAAGTTATAAGTTAAGAATAGTCTGATAAGACTACAAACCGGATTTGAGTAACGTAGCACTTCCGGTTTTCGAGAAATCAGGTTTTGGTGAACATTTGGTTCACTGGTTTGCTAGTATATATAATATATAAATATTTCCAACACTCACACCAATTAGCCTAGCCCCAAAATAAGCACTGTAAGGCTTGTGTTATGGGATGCTAGGGTAACGATATATATAAATATTTTACATCCATGGCTGGAGTACAAACGCTCGTATTCATCACACAAACATTTGCCCCCACCGGGATTCGAACCCGGGACCTCTCGAGTCGGCGACACCATGAAACCCGGCGTACAAACCACTCGGCCACCGAGGTCGTCAAACAAAGGTCGACAAAGCCTTTGATCTCGCTCTTTGGATAATTATTTTACATAGTAAAAAAAAAAGAAAAAAATTATCAAAGAACTTTACCTAGCCTCCATGGTCATGGCCCAATCTTCTTATTCCATGCATAGGGAAGGCCAAAACATTAATAGGCTGATGACAATGATACTGGATTCCACAACAAGCCGTAGATCAACATACTGGTATTAAATAACATTTACGTAATATTATTTTACGAGTCTACTGGTCCAAATGGAACTTTTCTAGTAAAATTTTCTTTAGATTTAAAATAGTATTATTATAAAGTTTTTCTTTTAACATACATTCGAATTAGACTTGCAACGAATAGTATATTCGACAGTATACCGAATACCGAATATTCGGCGCAGACCCTGACCGAATAGCCGAATATTAGGCAAAAGTATTCGACTGGATTTTAGCGCCAAAAACTTGTACAGACGTGATTGTTTCGCGTTCCTTTGTTTTGTTCTAATCTGCCGTCCTCAAGCTAAAATGCGGCTAAATGACAAAACCAACTTTTGAGATATGGCCAAAAACGACGCGTAAACATTAAATTATTGCTATTATGTAACCATTCATCACATGACTGAATGAATTAAAAACTGATAACTTGTTTAATACAGAAAATGATTAAATTATATACCTGTGGTATGTACCAATGACTACTTAAATGATTAATATAACAGAAATGAAAATATGAATATATACGTAATCAATCGATTTTAATTTCTCATTTTACTAATTATTTCTCTATGACAAAATATATTATTTAAGTATTCGGTATTCGGCCGAATATAATAAAAGCAGCCGAATAGGCCGAATACCGAATATTCGTTGCAAGTCTAATTCGAATGCATTTCGGTTTTACTGTGTGTCGATTGAAATGTTATGTCAATATTAAACCATGGATATTGTTCGGAGGAGCAGAGCTAATTGATTGTCCGCTCACGGGCGGCGCACGCGCAGAGGCCGAGCACTAGGGTCACCACGCTTGTTTTATTGATTCCAGACAAAAATACGCAGACTGTAGGTATTCTCAATTGTAGTTTAGATAAAAAATTATGTTGTTTTAGCTTGGCTAGTTTTCAATAATAGGTTTTGAATCAATATAACTTTATTTGTTTGATGGTGAAACAAATTACAAAAAATGATTTTTTTCTAATATTTTCGTTTTCTGATTCTCTTGAATGTAATTAATATTTTTAATAAAGTTCATTTATAGTAAGACAAATATGAATAATAAATATATCGTTTTAAACTTTCATGGTCACTAACATTATAGTACTAAAAGTTACCATGTACCTTGTTTTTAGCGAGTTTACGATATTTCGGCACTGTTGCAAGCGCCATGATGAGAATGTGAACAGTGTAGGGTAGACCGATATGTCTGCCAATAACCGCTCTACCCGCAATTACTTCAGTTACTCCGTGATCATGGCGCTTGCAACAGTGCCGAAATATCGGAAACTCGCTAAAAACAAGGTACATGGTAACACTCCCGTAAATAAATTATATTACTAAAATGAATAATAAATATTGTAAAAAATACATATTCGCATTTTTAATAGTATGAATGTCCCAATTATCGAAAGTTATGGAACATTCTTTGTTTCTTCTTTCCTCAGTTTAATCACTTTAGTTTGCAATCAAACTAATGTACTACCTACAGTCGTCACAAAACAAGAAGCCCGTTTTGACATTTGTCATCGTGGCGTAACTAATGATGTACCATACGACTCGGTGCACGATGCTTACGATAAATCGATTCAAGCTTGTAGAGTATTTGATTGATTTGACTTTACATGGTGTTACAAAAATACAAATAAAGCTTGAAGGGCATTGAAGTACATCATATAAGTAGTCTTTTCTAATTTTCTTAAAATATTTGCAAGAAGTTTGAACTTTTTATAAAAACAGTTATTTTTAATGATTAATAACAATATCGATCATTTTAAGACATGCCACTAGTTCGAGGTCATGCACCTTACCAGGAGTAGTAATAAATCTGCTGTAATAAATAAAATTAGAGAAAATTCCTTATATGATATATTTCAACACCCTTCAAGACACCCTGAATATCACAAAGTGCATTGGATTTAAGTTATAATTAGAGCATATAACTTGAACTTTAATGTTATAGGCAATTGTTATTGTTATTGTTGATGTTATTGTTTTTCTTCTTTCTCAAATGTCAAAACGGACTTCTTATATTGTGACGACTTTAATAGTCACAAAAATCGAACTTATTAAATAATTCTTTTAAAAAATTGACGTTACTTGAACGTGGTACTGTGAACGAGGTCACCCTACAATATTAACCTCTTCAGTAAACATAACCCTTGAGGATCCGCACTCATCCGCAGATGTGCGTCCGTGCAACCCGTCTGTTCCGACTGTGGAGGTTTAAGAGAAGCAAGCGGTTTAAGATCCTGAGGAGGCTGTGGCGATAACATGAGGTCTGCGTTGCTGATTCTTACGCTGTTGGTAAGTTTTTAAACGTGACACGGGGTTTCTTTACCGCATGAGAAGTAGACCACAGAACAGAGAACTATTTTTTATTTATTTATTTATCAAAAATAATTTTACACTGTTTCCTATACTTGAAAATTTCGCCTAAGTGTTTAATAGTTTAGCGAAAAATGGACTCAATTTTTAATCAGACGTCAATTTGAACTTCGTTGCAAAAACAATGTAGGAATACATTTTAATCTAATTTAGTTTGTACTTAAATTAAACATTTCGCTCATTACATACACCTATCCTCACATGAGTATACCACAAGTAATATGTAAATTAATCCTTTTAACATAATAAATGAATTATAATTTCTTTAAAGTAGGTAAGAGGGGAGATAGAATACGTGCTACAATCAAAATTTATGTTAATAAACTACTTATTGTATGTACAATAAAATATTGTTATATAAAGAAACAGGATAGAGAGAAAAACAGGACGATAATACGTAGTAATATAGAAGAAGATGCCGGTTAATTTTGTGTTGTATTATGTGGTTATGTGTCGTGTTTTTCTATTATAACCGCAAAAAAACACGTTTAAAAAAATTCTCAAACTTAATCAAAAACTTAAGTAAAATGTACAATTTAAATTGTGAGAAATGGTTTTGAAGAAATATCAAACTTTAGTTCTAAGGAATTCTGTGGATTACATATTTTGATAGAGTTTAAATTTCACTAATACTTTCGTTGGTGGATTAAAATTAATGATGGCCAAAAATACAGGTGGTGAACGAATCCACACTTTTTCTATTTCATCTGAACTTTACGAAACTTTTTTACAAAAAATAACTTTACTTAATTAAAAAGTTATAATTGTTATAGCTGGACAGTTAAGATTTTCTCGGGTAACGCACAAAATAAAATAAATGTTTCAGAGAAGCTTCCATACAACAAACATGATATTTAACCGTTTTCTGCTCTATATTAATAATGGCAACAGGTGACAGACGCTTGAAATATTCACAGAATATTTATTTGTATATGCACCAAAAAAAATAGATATAATTTTTATTTTTTAAGCATGTAACTGCTTGATGTTTAAATCTAAAGAAAATATATCTAGAAAAAAACCCACGCGGACCAGGCAGCAGACGGGACTCGAACCCGCACCCTTCGCTATCCGGGCCAATGCACTGACCAATTATGCTACCGCAGCCCTGATGGCCGCGTCGAAATTCTCCTAGCCATTCTTAAGCTGCAAGGCAGCGCCATCTCTTCGTATGGTAACCCACAATGTGAAATGAACACTTTTACAAGCATTAAACACTTGAAAGAAGAAAAAGCAATTATAGTTATATTTTTAAGCATGTAACTGCTTGATATAATATTTAAATATAAAGAAAATATAACTAAAAAATAGATATATAAGGGGGGCTCCTATACAACAGACGTGATTTTTTGCTCGATATTATTATATATTATCTAATGTTCGACGACCTCCGTGGTCGAGTGGTTTGTACGCCGGGTTTCATGGTGTAGCTGACTCGAGAGGTGCGGTTCGAATCCCGGTGGGGGCATATATTTGTGTGATGAATACGAGCATGTTAACTCCAGTCATGTTTAATATGTATTTCTATATAAATATGCTTATATTATGTACAGTGTATGTATTCTATCCGTTACCCTAGTATCCCATAACACAAGCCTTACAATGGTTACTTTGGGGTTAGGCTAATTGGTGTGAGTGTTGGAAATATTTATTTAATGTTGTACAGATAATGGTACGGAATCCCCTGGTGCGTCCGACTCGCGCTTGGCCTGTTTTTCTTATATTTGTAACTTTTCTTGTGACGAAAATAAAATAAGTTTAATTGTTTTCAAAACTATCAAAAACATTAACAAATATTAAGAGAGCTTTGCAAAAATGAATCAGGGCAATAAGATTTCTATATACAGGGTGTTACAAAAATACAAATAAAGCTTGAAGAGCGTTGAAGTACATCATTTAAGGAGTCTTCTCTATATTTCTTAAAATATTAGCATGAAGTATTAAATTTTTATAAAAACAGTTATTTTTAATGATCCTGTGTCTTAAAATGATCGATATTTTTATTAGGTAATCATTAAAAATAACTGTTTTTCTAAAAAGTTAAAACTTCATGCAAATATTTTAAGAAAATTAGAGAAGACTCCTTACATGATGTACTTCAACGCCCTTCAAGCTTTATTTGTATTTTTGTAACATTCTGTAAATTAAATAGCATAACAAATGCAAAATTTTGATATAACATGAAAAGATAGAGATACAATAATTCGATTTGAAATGATCTTGTAACAGTCACATAATCTGAAAAGGAATTGAGACAAGAATATCGTGTGAATTTACTGTGTTCAAAAGATCGTTTACTTAAGTTCTATTTGAGATAATTGGATAAGAAAAGCTTGATAGTGCAGGTAGTTAGCGTAAAGCTTCTACAATAAAGTCCCTAGCAATACCCAAAATTTAAGCGCCAATAAATTTAAAACTACCATTAAAAGATTTCTTATTAATAACCCCTAATGTAAAGTGTCTGATTATATTCCAGACAAAAATGCTTAGGTTTAAACTGTTCCAAAGGTTCCGGCAGGCTCTTTCTATAATTATGATGAAGATGAAATTATTTTGTATTGACACCGTAACAATATGATATGTTGTTAACATTGTTATATAAATTATTTAACGCTGTGAAGTCTTTTTGTCTTTTTGACGTGGTCTCTGAATGTCGGTCTCATAACAAAACTCAGAGTCGCGCAGCGTGCTATGGAGAGGGCTACGCTCGGTGTTTCCCTACGTGATAAGATCCGAAATACGGAGATCCGTAGAAGGACCTTCATAGCCCGAAGAGATAGCACGCTGAAGTGGCAATGGGCAGGCCACATCGCTCGAGGATCTGACAACCGTTGGGTAAGAAAGGTCCTCGAGTGGCGACCACGTATCGGACGACGCAGCGTGGGGCGGCCAAACAAGGTGGACTGACGACATCGTCAAATGTGCTGGGAGCCGCTGGATGCGGATAGCGCAGGACCGCGCATTGTGGCGTTCTATGGGGGAGGCCTATGTCCAGCTGTGGACGGAGAAAGGCTAATGGATGGATGGATGGATGGATTGATGGATAGATGGATGGATGGATGAAGTCGTCTTCACAAGTTGTATTTTACATCCAATTTGAATAAAGATTTTTCGACTTTTGTATTCGGCCTACGATCGTGAAAATTACGCAACTTTAGCAATGGTCGGACATCGGATAGGTGACCAAAAACTCACGAAGGCACGTTAAGACGTTGGTCTCGTCTGCATCTGCAATCAAAAGCACCTTTTAATCAGCAATTGGCCCGCGTGGTGGGTCACGGCCCAGTCTTCCTCTTCCATCTATAGGGAAGGCATGTGCCCCAGCAGTGGGGACATTTATAGGCTGACTAGTCGCCCGCCCTCGCTTCGCTTTGGGGTAGAATTGATCAAAATCCTTTCTTAGCGGATGCCTACGTCATAACATCTACCTGCATGCCAAATTTCAGCCCGATCCGTCCAGTGGTTTGGGCTGTGCGTTGATAGATCACTATATCAGTCAGTCACCTTTGAGTTTTATATATATAGATGATGATGACGAGTGACAATTGGTGTGCACGGAAATTTCTGAAACAAACGGAATTATCATGAAGTTTCTTATACTAAGAGTTTTTAATCATAGTCAAGTGTTTTGTTGCATCACTGATCCACGAACTCGGTCAAATATAGCGACCTTTATTGATCTGTCTATCGATCTATTAACTTATTCGCCTTTTTTATTTGATATAAGTACTCAGTTGTTTAAAAGAGGCTTTGTCTTTGTTTTTTTCTGTTTGGCTTATTTAGTAAAAAACAGAAGTAAATTATAGAATTGATACGCTTTGGAAGCATTCTCATTTAGCTAATTAATGTTCAATCAATGGTTAAAACAAAAATGAACTCTTTTAAGAAAAGTTATTAGTTAGAATAGTACTAGCAAACCAGTGAACCAAATGTTCACCAAAACCTGATTTAAAAAAAATGTATTTAATTAATTGAGAACTTCGGAGATTTTGTGTGGTTTCGTTTGAAATTCGTGATTTCTCGAAAACCGGAAGTACTACGTTACTCAAATCCGGTTTGTAGTCTTATCAGACTATTCTTAACTTATAACTTAAATATTCTCTTTATCTATCTCTTACGGTTTGGCCGCTGAAACACAGACGGACGGACGGACTTGTCTAATAGATAAGAGATTTTTTTTAATTTTGAAATGGTGGCAAACAAGCCTACGACCCAAGGGCGGATCCAGAGGGGGGGTCATGGGGGTCATGACCCCCCCCCCCCCCCCCTGGGCTGGGTCCATCTGTACCCACTTCAAAATCTGTACTTCACAATCTGTACCTATTGTGACTTGACCACGACTATATGACCCCCCCCCCCTGGCGCCAAAGCTGGATCCGCCCTTGCTACGACCCACCTGTGGGCCATTCGCCTAACGGAAATGCTTGGGAAAACGCTAACGCTTACGAATTCATTTTGTTACCTATTTCTAGCCGCCTGAGGTTTTCAAATGCATCGCGCTCTTTTTTTTTTCTTTTGCATTGATAATAACAATATTAAAAAAAAATGATCGTGAGGTATTTGAAAACTTCAGGCGGCTAGAAATAACAATATAAAATCGTAAGCGTTAGCGTTTCCCAAAGCATTTCCGTTAGGCGAATGGCCCCCTGGTGGTTAAACGCCTGTGAAAATATCACTCGGCCGTTGCCTAGCCTTTTTTTTGTGTCTGGAAAATGCCTTAAGCATCCTTTAACCACTGGGGGAGCGAGAAGAAGGTATGTGGGACTTCTCCCTGTTCATTTCAGCCAGCCCTGTGACCGGATGAAATAAACAGGGTTCTTCCTGACGCCCTGGACAGGGCCACTAATAACCAGACAATACTCTAGTACCGTCACCCGACACGCACAATGAGGATCGCGGTCCCCCTAGTGCCTGCTGAG